ATTCCCCAAGATTCCAAGATAATGCAAATGTAGCGCGTCTAGCTGAGTCGTTCAGCTTTAAATAATGAGCTCATTATATCCTAGCTTTCTGGAGAAAGTAACTAAAAAGCAGGACATCAAAGAACTAGGAACCAGGGGGGGAAATGGTTTTGCTTTCTACCATCAAAATCATGTAAATTCCTCCTTACACGTGTCATCTTCAATGTGTAAAGTAGCGTCTGGTATCTTCCATGAGGCAAGGAGTGTGGAGTGTTCGACTTCAGTATATGAGAGCCCACTATCTACTAGGGGTTGTTTAGACTTTAGATGTTGGTTTTGTATTTGATTTTAGCCAATGTCAGAAATTTAGTGAATACTCAAATATCCAGGTTTTTAATTTTGTACTTTGTTCGTAGGATAGAGGAGGTGGAACTTAGTTTCTTTACTGGTAAAGGAAGTGATAAAGCTGGGAAGTGATATCTAGGTCGAGCTAATGATTGATTTCGTAGTTAAAACACAATATGCAACTATCTAAAATAAATAAGTAAAGTTCTTAGAATTTTTGTTACTTCATATTTCTTCTGACTTTTAATTTTTTCAGAACGGGACCCACATTTCCACTTTCCACTTTCCATTCTCCTGCTTTCAAATACAGGAAACAAACAATAGATTTGGTTAGGGGGTTGTTGTTCTGACAAAAATAAAATTAAGCCCCACATTTTTCATGGATTCTCACAGAAATCCGCAATCAAAACAACTAGGCCCTTAAGCTTTTGGGTGAAGTGGTCACCAGCACATCATGCACCAACATTTACTCTCCAAAACTTAATTCCACAAAAGTCTACAAAATCTACCTATCTGCTGATACCTAAATAAGTCCTAAGTTCGAGTTCTGGACATGCAAAGAAAGGGATAGATTTAGCCTAGCAACGTGTCGTTGCCAGCATCAATTAAAATTGAAAGAAAAATAAAAAGCTTGACAAAATCCAATTAGTACCACAGCAAAAATATACATAAGCAGCACAAAATTAAAACTGTTAAAACAGATACCAGGTGACTGATGATTTCCAAAAGAAACTAGGAAGATGTTGCCAAAAACAATAAAAGCCGTGGCTATCACTACCCTGCAAAAGAAGTACATATTGGTTATGATGTGATATCTACGTACATTGATCTTAGAAATATGACATAGCATTCTCGTCTAAGTAGCATACTTGATCTTTACCGTCTTACTCAATACAAAGTAAGCAAATGCAATATTGGATACAAACTGAACCGAACCCAGTGCTGCAAGAAGGGACTGCAAGTGAGATCAAATGAAACCTAGTTATGAAATAGTTAATATAACATATGACATCATCATCAGAAGCTAGATTTTCAAGGAACTTAAAAGTTAGAGGGTTTAATTTATAAAAATCAAACTTTATAAGATAATGAATCACTTTAATGACCAATAGTCTCATGTTTTACTGAATAACATGAAATTAATTGTATCTCTAAGCAGTAGCTTAGGAGAAGTTGTGTGCCCCACTGCACACTAGAAATCCACCAAGATCCATTTTAATTAATAGTAAATTGTATTCTAATCAATCATAAAGTTGGATATCTATAGTGCATGGAGGCACCAGGATATCAGGTATGAAGACCTTATTCAAACAAATAAACACTAACATTTTACATGAATTGTAAAATATGAACAGAATAAAAAGAGGAAACCCTTATTTTGGCACCAATGTAGCCTAACAGATGAAGACAGTGAAATGTCATTCCACATACAGAGCTTCTACTGCTTTACAACAGTCAATCAACAAAAGAATAAGAAAGAAAAAGCTTTATCAAGCGAGTCTCCTCCTTCATGTGCACATCCACTACAGAAGACCAGCTATCTCACATCTATCACAGCTACTGTTTAGATAAAATAACTAAGTTGGCATTTTAGTCAGTCTTTTTTCCATGAGAAACATCCAATACACGCTTGATGTATGATGTAAACCAAATGAAACAGGCCATTTATCTTGGATACTCGCATTACTAATTACACAGCCCAGGCTATATATTCAATTCTGGTATCTAGGACATTTCCCTCAACCTAATAGGTGTGTGTCAGACACTGCTAGACATGATACCCATGTCCATATGTGCATGACCAAATATAGTCATGTCCTCGTGTCTAGATTTTAGGCAATTTCTGTTTGGCGCCATCAGAATACAACACTTGTGTTCATATGTACAAGTCTAATATACTCATACAATTTATATAGTCAAAAGATGTCTAGATGCTAGTCTAACCTGTGCAGCATATCCAAAAGAAACAAAGTTAAGGCAGTTTCCCAGAGCAAAGAAGAGAATACCTGCACAATGAACATCACACATATGAAGCAAAGCAGCTTAAAGAAATTAAAAATTATACAATCCTAAGATGAATAGTAATTAACCACAGTAAAGTGCAAAAAAAAAGTACCAACTCTCCAAGTATGAAAATGTATGATCGGTTTTGGAATAAGCTTGTCATTGCCTCCATCCTCACTAAGAGTAGAAAGCTTCTCACGCTGTAAGAATGTAAAGGAACCATATGAATCAGGTTGAGATATAACTGCAAAAGCAATATGTGCACTAACTATACCCAATATGTGAACATTCTTATATTATCGTTCTGAAGAAAGAAAGGAAAATTCAGTTGTGATCTAACTATTATATGCTACATTGTACTGACATAAGGAACAACACGTGCACTATTTATATTCAGTGTATCAAAGGTCAACTGTTATCAATATAAATGGCCATGGTATGCCACATAGCACTTATACATATGTGAGAAGTTGCACCTCGAAGTTCCCATATGCAAGCAAAAGACCATCTCCTACTAAAGCTAAGGCATATACTTGCATTATCTCTTCACTTAAATTTTTATTTAAAAAAACATATCAAAAAAAATATCAAAGAAAAATTAGTGGCCTAGAAATTATGGAAACATTAACATAAAAGTAGCTTTTCAAACTAATGAATGCGTTGACCCTAAACATTATGTGGCATCCTAAGAAGAAAACAAGGACATGCTTTCATAAGCATCCTTTCATCCTACTAGCTAGAAGCACCAGAAATCATCTTATCCCCAGTAAATAGAAACATTGTATAACTGGAACATAAAAACAATCTAGGGTTAAATATTAGAAGGTGCTAGGAAACTTAAAGAACCCACAGAATGGCTTCAAATACCAACGAAATACTAGACCTGCCAGTATTACTCAACATATCAAAATTAAAGCATGGTATGCTACAAGGTTTTCTAGTAGTACTCAATATATTAGAGGATGATGACTGTTAACATAATATGCCAGCAAAATGTGTTAGGGACCTTAGGGTTTAAAAAAAGAAGTGTTAAGAAACATGATATGGTGCTAAGGCCAAGAGCAGGAAGAAACCTTCCCAACAGCCTCTTCATGATAACATGCTAGGTATGTAATTTGCATGTGGCATATCTTCCAGTTGAGATATTAAAAAAGTACATGAGCTGGATGTCAAAATTCACCACTGTTGAGATATATAAAACAATAAGCAACAAGACTAACAGGAAATAAATTAAACTAAAAAATAGATGAGATTTTCAGGAGTAAAGGATGAAGAAAGAAGTACCTGCTCATGGCCTAATTTTAGAAGATTTGTCCCAAAATTTATGGCAACGCTCCCAATTATATTGATCACGGCTCCAATAACCCAATCCCCCATGGCTCACAGTACGTCAAAGAGAAGCAACAGCTTGTATATGTTAATGAAAATCAATTCCTAACATGTGCAAGTGGTGACCATTGCCTGACATCAAATCAGGGGAAAATAGTCAAATAATTGTCTCTGCGAGCCACTTGGTTTCATGGTTAACCAACAGACAGAATGCTTTCACGTAGTTGAGCAAGACAACTACCTGTGCACTTGCAAAGATAGTAGTAATCAAAAGTTTATCCATGTAAAGTTAAATAACACAACCTAATGCAATGACATTGATTAACTTTAAAAGCTATATGTTAATAAAATAAAATAGTGACTTCACTCATTATGGGAAGAACAAGTAAGAAATTAGGAAATGAAGGTGTATCAAGGCATAAGCTATCAGCAATATAACATAGCTGTGACCTACTATTGTAAATTAACATCAACCTCATTTGAATGTTAAAGATGGAAGAGAGGCACATGAGAATTTACAATGAGTATTCTTCATCCAAGAATCTCTCTCCTTAATTGTCTTGTCTAACATGTTCCAAGAAGTATGCACACCATGTGAACTTATTTATGTCGGAGTTGATTCAATACTATCAGTCCCTGATAAGTGTTATTTTTGAGAGTTATCAGACACTTTTGTAAACACTTTCTTCGTGCCTACGCATTTCTTTCATACGCTTCCTCCGATGCATTTACATTCTAAACATCAAATATCTTTCTCTCTAGTTCATTCATGTCCATCTTGCAACTAAAACTCCCTTCACATTGCATGAACCTACATCATACTCTTACCCATCTCTTCGTATTAAGATCGTTAACCTTATCACCATTTCAGCACTTGAGCTTGAGCAACCTAGCATCATCTAGCCATGGCTTCAATGCTTCATAGTCATATCAACCTAAATTTCTGGTCCTATCAATTCACAACGAACGGAAGCTAACAAATTTAACCTCCATGAATCCACCAAAACTCTAACAAATCTCTGCATAATCACCTTTTCTAATGTATTTATTATCTCTCTTGCTTCCACAGAGGCTTCAAACAGCAGTGTTGTCCTTCAACCATGACTAAAGCTCATAACGTAAACTAAACGACTCGACCAATTCTGCGCCAATCATCATCAAAATCCTACCTTTCCTGGCTAATTCCAGCCATATCTCTATCTTTCAACGAAATCTCAGATAAACAGACAACATTATAGACTAGAACCTACGGCACGAACCGTTTCCGAGAATTTTGCATCGCAAGCCCAAACAATCTCAAAATTTTGACAGATCCAGCTCCAGTTTTCGAAGCAACATCCAAATTCAAGATCAGTTTCTGAGCAAAGAATTGAAATTAGGGGCTTCGAGAATTACCTCGAGCGATCAAGATTCGCCGCCTCCTGAGCTGGAGGAAAAAGAAAAAAGTTAGGGTTTTTAATG